TATGCGCTAAAGCAACACATTAACGATATTCATCAGGTGATACAACAGCAAAGAACACTTCTCCAAGACGTGTTAACTATTGTGGAAGACACAGTTGTTACAACAAATTTGCATCCAGAGTTAAATTACCAAATCCACTGAGTTGCACCAAAGTCATGACTTATTTAAGCGTGAACTTCTATTTCTGCATGACCCAATATTGTTCCACACACTTGCTTTTCTTGACGAAGTGCAAACTGGAATGATCGAATTGGCAGGGGGACGCATACCTCTGTATTTTGTATCCAAGGATATTGTTCATGCGATGCTTGCCAATGTGGATGGAGAGACAATTGAGCCTATGCAATTAAATCTGGCCTTTGAGATGGGGAGCGCTATACCTCTCTTAATTGATCCGGAACGTATGGAGATTTGCTTTTTATTGACCATACCATATGTAACTCCCAAGAACATTTTTCAAATGAAAATAATGTACTATGTTAATAATGATATTATGGTTGGTTGTACTAAGTGTAAAGTTCAAAACTTTTACAGGTACAAATATATACAAAACTGTTCATTCCACGCACGGGCCTATGTTAGAAATGATGTGATTGCACAATATGTCTGGTAACTTCCACAGTGCTTATTCATAAGCTAAATTAATTTTGGCTATGAATGCACTAAATGCACTAAAGGGGGGTTATGTCAGAGTATTTATATCGGCAGACATCTTGTGCTATGATAGAAACTAAAAGTGTATATTCTGAGTCACTCTGAACAGACCAGACTCCATTTTGTTATTCCAAGTTAACAAAAAAAAAGACACAAGATTTCTTTCTGTAAGACTAGCCACTTTGTCAGAGCTAAAAGGAATGCATAGTATAAACAAGTGATAAGAAGAATATAATCAATTCTAAACCCAGACAATTGTGACAGAGAAGATTAAATAATAAAATTTAACTGTCTATATATATATAAGGTACCATTGTATGGAAAAGGGTAAACTTAGTTCATGATCTGCTATATCAGACAAAACTCAGATTGCTAGACATATAGTCTGGACAAAATTTAAGAAACCCTTTGATCTGTGAAGGATACGTAAGTTATAGTGGTCATTTGAGATAAGCAAAATGACGTCAAAATAGCCACTAGGAAAAGTTAACTCTTTCCTGGATAGGTATGTTTAGTAGGACAAGACTGCCCTCTATAGACCAAATAACTAAATTGCGATCTGGAAGATAACCACACCTCTAGTGCTTCTATTGGGTTATCAACTGATGACGTACAGAGAGTCTGGCCCTTTAAAAGTTAAGACAAAGGGAAGATAGAGATAGGCAGAGGCAAGAGATATGCAAAGAAAAAGAGGAGAGAGGAATTGGAAGTTGGGGACTCCAACCTCCATGCAGAGAGACATCCAAATAAGTTCCTGAGACTACCAATCGGATGAAATATCTACTCAACTGGTAATTATACTGGTTTCATTTAATTAAATTAATTAAAATGTATTAATAGCATTATATATGACTGGATAAAGCACGGTCAGATTTCCATATTGAGAAATCTTAGTTAACTAAAGAATATATAGTTATAAACATTCCATTCTACAGGTGGAATTAAGAATAATTATATATTGATGTGATATTATCACGTGTTAGCATACCGCTGTTTTTATCCAGGTGTATTGATTTGCTCTAATATAAGATAGATATCTTTTAGACAAACTCTGCTTATATATATGGTAGATTCTCTTATTGGATGGTTCCAGGAAATGACTAATGAACTGGTTTAAATGTATTTTATTTAAAAATTACATAAGAATAGATCCTAACTACCTAGGAGATTTAGCCAGCATTGAAAGGGTTATTCTAACTGTCAGCTAAACTTTACGACCTTACGCTGCACTCTGAGGAATTCTGTTCTTAGCTGTGAAAAGTTTCACTTTCAGTCTGTGTTAAAGATAGTCAGAAATAAGTCTTGACAGATAATGCTATTTAGCCATTGAAACGTAATACCCGTTCCTTTGTATTGCATATAATTTTATACTGAATATTCATTGATTATTGTCACGCATGTTACATATTATTATTATTATAAATAAAATCTATTTTTATAAAAAAAAATATGATATTATTTATATTAAATACTTTCACTTACGATAAACATTATTTGGGATCTGAGAATTGAATTAGTGGGCAATTCTCAACTGTTTACTATTATTATCCCATAAATATCCCCACAATATTAACTCCTCCAGTGCCAGATAGTCAATTTAATTGCAGTCCTTGTGAAAGGACAATCTTATTAATCCCTAATAAGGGATATTAAACTTAGTTTAAGCAATTAATTCAAAGCAACAATATTTGATCATAAGGTGGCAGGACAGTAAGTACATATTAATTAGAATCTTAGAGGGGTTATACTTTCTAATAGTTTAACCTCCAAATCCAACCCATGTATATTAAATGTCATAAGCTTTCATGCCAAATCCAACCAATATACGTTAAATGTCATAAACTTCCATAATGAATGATGGATAAAAGTATATCCAACCAGTGAAGTGTTAGAAACAGTTAGATAAACGGTGCAAAAGAGAAGCCCCCATTTAAATCCTTGGGTTGGAGGGTCTTCAACCAATATATCCAAAAGCTCTCACGTTGTCTCAAAAATCTATCATAGTCGCCTCTTCTTTTGTCACATTTCACCAGTTCCAAACCAAAGAAGCAGAGACCTTTTGAGTCACCTGAGTGGTGTTCCTTCAAAAAAGTATCCAGCAATACTCCGTTAATTCTAAAAATATTATGCAAATTAAACATGTGCATCTCTCATAAAGAATTTAACAGATAAAGTATACAGATTAGAAACGGATTATGCAATCGATTGGTAAAGTGATAGTTGATATCAACAGATCAATCCAAAATCAAACAACTCAATATATATTTAAACATTGGTCACTTCAAAACTATCACAGACCAGGGTACACAGAATGCAGCAATAAACCAGATGTTAACACAGATAAGGTAGTTAGGCTGTTTCTATAACTAATACCACTTTAAAGGACCACTATAGGCACCGAGACCACTTAAGCTCAATGAAGTGGTCTGGGTGCCAGGTGCCTCTAGTTTTAACCCTGCAGCTGAAAACATAGCAGTTTCAGAGACACTGCTATGTTTCAGCCCAGCGGGAGGGGGGACCTGATGACCCTATAGTGCCAGGAAAACAAGTTTATTTTTCTGGCACTATAGTGCTCCTTCAACTCCAACTGCTGGCTACAGTGTTCACTAAGCAATCACTTTAAACACTGAAAAGCAAAATACAATGTTTCAATGCCTTTTTAGCTATTTCAACACAGTTAATTCAATTTAACCATTTTCCTTCACCATCGAGAACACAAAGAATCTTAAGCAGTTTAAAAATTACTTAAGTTATTTCACTACTGAGTCTATTGAACAGTTAGAATTTTACACAACTGAATATCCTGAATATCTAATATCTCTGGATAACAACTAGATATGCTAAACTTGGCAATTAACCAATGAATAAATATAAATTAATCATATCATCTGCAGTATAATATCATCAATCTACTGATTACATTTTATGCTAGATATTATTTCAGAATTTTTGGAATCTGAATCAGCTATTATCCAGATATATTTGTTTTTTAGGGAAAAAAAAATCCCATTATAGTTACTAACTCTTCCTGTATAGAAGATTATGTGTCTCTGGAGATTAATCCAATGACTGAAGATAGTGTTAGGAAAGTTAGGAAAAATTAAGTAAGAATGAAAGTCTTCAGGAAATTTCTAAGAAGGATAATGAAACGTAACAGGGGGTGTCTTTTGGAGAAAGTGGGGTGGCTTTGTTCCCCAGAGAAAATTGTCCCTAGATGCTCCATTTTGCTATTTTTAAAGCAACCTCTTATCTCTTTAAATTCACACCCATAATATGAGTTGATCAATGATATTTGATGGGTGTACACTATTATAATGAGTGATGGCCTCATCATAGTAGCTGAAAATTTCAATTTGGTCAGTACATTGCATTATTGTCCCATAATTACTTTTCTATAAATACTCTTAAATAGTTAACTAAAGGTGATGATGAGAATTGCCATCAGAGAGTGGTAATTTTTACGGCTATTTAAATCACCGATCTGTCAAATATCAGAAGAATCTTCTCTCCAGCTCTACCAGACAAGTAGGTACCTATGTGCCCATTACTCAGGTTTTGTGACACATCTGTCCTTAGATTCACCCAAAGTGTATGGATAGAATATTTAAACATAGACACTCTTAATAAAGTGCTTTAAAGATGACGTATCTTATGTGAGATCGTCAAACATTATTTTTGTTATCTCATCTGTGTCTGTTTTTTTCTCACACACAATGTAACTAGTATTAAAATATAAAGATAAATTGTGTGTTTTAACTTCTAGTAAGTGAGATTAAACATGCATGCATAACAGAGAAGGTACTTTTATATGAGTTTTATTTGAGAAAACCTGTGTTTTGGCTGCAAATAGTTTAATTCAATAAAAAGAAAAGTGAATCCCTCCTTGCAGAGGTCAAGAATGTTTGTGCTGCCAAAAGTGCAGTACTTAAAGAAGAGATTATTTTCCTAACAGGGAGGCTTAAGGCTAAAGAGGACAATGTTATAGACAAATATCAAGGCCTGGCTACAGTGGATGTGATTGTCCAACAACTACAGTCTTTTTGTAAGGACCTTGCCTGAACAATAGATACCCTTAATGATTTGTAGGAGGAGGACAAACATTACGGTGAGCCATCATAGAAGAATTTACATACTACCTTAGATGCCTCATTGCCTCCCTTCTGCCCTCAAATCACTCTGAGGTGTTAGTCCTAGTTGGACCACCATGGATATCTAGATCAATACCATCATCTGACAGTGTTCAGTGCTGAATGCTCAATAACAAATCACGCATAATGAGAGCTCTGAAAGAAAAGCTATAGCAGTTCGCGACATATTAACAATGTTCTGAGAGAGGCTGGCTTGGACTATTGGTGGGGTACACCATCTACGTTGAGTCCAAAAGCATGGTACTGCTTATTGGATCACAACAACAGAGGTCCCCATTTTCTTTTTTTTCTAAGCTAGGAATTACGCTACTGGCATTTGCTACAGAGAGACATACATGTCCACACACTATGGGTTTCTACCATAGTTCCATTTGTTACTAGGAACTGGGCAGGAAAAAGTTAATGGTTGCAGGTATGTCATTGGAGTTTTCCTACCATATCCATTTTATTTAACTGTATGCTTTTTTTTTTTTAGTTATTTTATGTTATTGACAATGCATTGCATTTCTTGCTTATATTGCACTTCTTGCTTTTACTAGTTGCTCTATACAAGCAATTGGTTAACATTCTTCCACTGGATAGCTTTAATGCCTATCCTTCTTTTAATTATGTTAGGGTGACTTATTGAGTCTTACAGGGTTACTCACTGAAGTACAAATTTTAAGTCAAGTCAAAGTAAATTTCACATGTAAAATCAAAATAGCCAGTTCAACTTTGTTCTTAAAGAACCCTATTATTAAACTTTCTATATTATAAAAAGGGAGTGCTTAGCAAAGCATTTGATAATAGTTCTGTTTTTTTCTAATACAAGCTATGTATCTCTTGCTGACGTGAGTTGTGTCATTCATGTAATGTATTACATTAAATATCTAACCTATAAGTCACTTAGGAGCAGGGGATTAGGTTTATTACATATGGTGTAGGAGGTTCATGTCATAGGTGTTGTTAGAGGGGTCCATAAGGGGTAAAAACAAGCTTTTGGGGTTCTTAAGCCCCGGATCACTACAGTTGGTGGAAGAGGCTGAATGATTTAGTGCTTTTTTGTTTTTTTATAATTTTACATCAGGGTGGTACAAGCAACCACAAATTGTAAATGAAAGATAATAGTATGTTGTTGCGCCAGGCTGCTTAGGAGGAGGTGGTAGTGCCCCCAGGTGCCTGTAAGCAGAAGGTGGGTGTTGGAATACAGAGTGTTGCTGCACACCCCACTGTTAGGTAGCATGGTAATTGCATTGAATAACAGGTTGTGGCCGCATATGCTTCTTCCTGGCTGTGCTTTCATTGAGACCCTAAGTGGCATTACCAGCATGATCCTCATGAGTAGAGGGGTACAGACATAACATAAAAAGGATGGAAATGTCATGACATAACTACAGCCCTGCTAGTTTAGTGGTCATTGAGACTTCCTTTGGGCTCAACCTCCTATTTTTGTTCTGGCTAAAAGGATTGGAAATAAGTGCTGAAAAGCTCCAGTTTCCTGAAGAAACTGCATATTTGCAGGAAATTTAAGGAAAATCAGGGAGATTTTTTAAAATTAACTATTTTTACCTTTTAATCAGGGTAATGCCCTTGTACGCATACACAAATGAAGAAACTACTGCATTTAGGAATCAGGAGTTTCAAACACACATTACAAAAGATAACAACACAGCAAAAAAAAAATAAGCGAGAGAGACATCTCTGCAAGGGAAAAGGAAGAAAAACCCCTAAAATTTGTATTTTACCTGTTTCAACTGCTATACATAAATCAGCTTGTGGTCTTTCGTTGTGTATTTGGAATTTCCCCTTCAAATTAGGAGTTTTATGTAAAACATAAGGGGAAGACGTGTGTATGGATAATGCATAGATTGCAAATGTCTTATTTTGTGCTTTGTTTCTTACCCCAAAACATTTTTCAGATGATGTTTCTTTGTGTATATCATCTTCTCCAACTGACAGTGATTGTCCTTTCGCCAAGCAATCTCTATTGTCCTTTAGTTGATCTACCTCTAATCTGTCCTGTATTTGTGTGAATAGGTCTTCTATAAGTTTAATTTGCTCAATCATAATTTTTATTTGTTCTGCATGTTGTAGCCCTCCATCTTTATTATTTGAGTCACCGTAAGATCCTTCAGCCACCTGCATTTCTGCCCCTGATGATAACTGAGAAAAAGAAGGGAAGAGCAGTTAGATTTTCTATAAACGTGGAGCTATAAAGGAATGACCAGACCTGAAAATGTTAGAAGTTGCGGCATGCTTTTTGGTTGTTTTGAAACCGAGGAACAGAAAAGTGTACATTGCATCATTACAAGGGAAGCTCCTTGGGAGCGGGCAGAAACACAGAGGAAGACATAACATAAAAAGAAATGGAGGGTAAAGGCATAGGGGCTGGAAATGCTTCAAGTAGCAGAGTTCCTTTAGAATCCAGAAATATAATGCCATGGTCAGGTCCAATATAATTGTAAGGGCGAAGGGTGAAACAGGATTGTCAAGAGAAAATATAGATCTCAGATAGTGAACAAGAGCAGGAAGCAGAAACAGGCATGCAGTATGGACCCAACAGTGTGTCTTGTATGTGGTTAGTCTAAAGTAAAGGTTCAAGAACACCTATGCACTAACGGGAAAATCTGAAGGGACATGCTACAACTACATGAGCAGAGTTACTCAGACATTGCCAGTGGCTCCTGTGTTTGCTTGCATTAGTTTTCAAGTGTATGCTTAGCGACATGCAGTATTAACACTTGTTTCATCATGCTAGCTTCCTTGAAACAGCTAGGAACACGGCAGCCACCAACACAATCTTAATGAAGCAGTTTTGGTGTATAGTTCATACCCCTGGACTCTCAATTCTCAATTCACTGCCATTTAGAAGTGTTCCTTCCGAAACACTTCCTGTAAATATAGATCTCATGTTTAAACTTACTTTATTGCACATTCTGTTTTATTTAGAATGTATTATCTTACACTCTGTGAATAGTCTTCTAGACACTACGGGGGTGTGATAAATGTTTAATTTGCAGAGCAAGAGATAAAAGCAAGTTAAAGTATTACTCCAACCACCATGACCACTTCCGTAATGTGAAGAGGTGATGGTGGTAGGAGTCAGCATGTACAGTGTTTCATGCAGTGTTTCTGCTTGAAACACTGAACATACTGAGATATTCTTAATTGTATGCTGGGGTTAGTTGCACACACAGTACATGTGACTTAGTCAGCCCAGACCTCTGTTACGAAAAGAAGGGAATTGGGGATACACTTGGAACATGTCATTCCACTATTGTAACAATCACTTACCTTTCCCTGCCGGACCCGCGCATTCTCCTCCCATACTTCCAGGAGGCGGCTCAGTCCTTCTGACGCCGGCCGCTCGGAACACGCCCATTTTTATGACGCAGGGCATGTGCCCCGACATCAGCAAAATAGTGCCACCAAAATTGAAACGTGGCCACGCTCCCGGAACTTTTGGGGGCGTGGCTTTAAAGCTAAAGATCACACACTAAAAAAGGCAACCTTGGCACTTGTTAGGCGCCCTAGTGTGGTTCTTGTTTGAGTCCCCTAGCGCTCTTTATTTCTGATTGTCTTTTTGGTATCTGACTCTTGGCTTACACTCTGACTATCCTGTTCTCTGGTTTTGGCTTGGATTATCGTGTGCCCGTCTTCTGTATTCCCTTGACCTCTGGCTATTCCTTTGACTACTCTCAGACGCAAGTCCGGCCATTCTAAGGTCCGGTATACATCTTCCTCTGGGTTTCACTCTGTGTGAAGGGGTCAATCTTGACAACTATATGGCCATATTGTGTTAAGCCCACCACTACTTCACAGTACCCCAATATCAGTGGGTCCTACACTAATTCCAATGTGGGAGGCAAATGAAATAATGTTATTGCTAAATGAGCTAAATTGTATTTAAATAAGCTTTTGTAAGAGCATTGTGAATATATATAATGCAAAATTAATGGGATAAAAAACACAATACAAAAGTATATAATTCAAAGCGCTATCACTTTAATTGTTTGGTTTTGACAATGCTTTTTTTTTGTTTGTTTTATGGTTTTTATCACATTAATTTTGCATTAAATATATTCAAAATGCTTTTACAACAGATTAAGTGACATCAGGATTTAGCACTTTAATGAAGTCCCTAGAGCTTCGCCCGGCACTTGATTTCAGGTAAGTAAAACAATTTATTACAGGTTTTGCAGCGTATTGAGGGTTATTCATTTAGCTAATTTTATTTTGATGTCTATAGTGTCCCTTTAACTATGGAAGTGGCATTCACATTCCACATTTTGGCTAAACTAAAAGCAGAGAGAGATTGGTAGCAACATGGATGTCCAAGCACACTCTCTCTCCCTTTATCTATAGTCTTTGCTGAGCTCTTGTTTTACATCCACAGCATGAGGATACGAAGAGAAGCTGACTTCCTCATTACTAAACTACTCCATGTTGACATGCCTTGACAGATACTTGGAACTCCTAGTAGTTGACATTCTGGGATTCCTTCACATAGGCCCTTTTTAGATTGGCTGTGGCATTGGAAAGCATACCTAGACATTTCCAAAAGAAAGATTGCTCCATTCATTTGATTTATACCAACCTCTCTAAAAAGACTGAGGCTTTCATGTGCCAGTGGCTTTCTTGATTCTCTACCCATCTCATCCCTAAGAGATAGCAGCTCTGCAATGATGTTATCTGTGGCTTTAAGGACTGTGGAAGTCAACTCAATGATAGAACCCTAAAGAAAAAGAATGCAATAAGTCAATACAAGAATAAGGAAATGTGATTAAGAAGGCATGGCGAATTAGTAATAATTACATGATTTTGCTATTACATGATGAATAGTCATGATTTTATTAAAGACACAGAGGCGAGTATTGTATATCCCTTTCTTTACTGTCCACCAATAGCAGCAAAGAATGCAAAACAGTAAGAAAAAATGGTACACGTAGTAAAAGGCCACTCCCATACCAAATCCCAGTATAATAGTCAGCACCTATCTTCATACTTCCTCTTTCTTTGGAGATGCAACCACAAAAACAAACATTAAAGGGACACTATAGTCACCAAAACAACTTTAGCTTAATGAAGCAGTTTTGGTATATAGATCATGTACCTGCTCAATTCTCTGCCATTTAGGAGTTAAATCCCTTTGTTTATGAACCCTAGTCACACCTGCATGTGACTTGCACAGCTTTCCTAAACACTTCCTGTAAAGAGTCATCTAAACTTTATCCTTCCTTTATTGCAAGTTCTGTTTAATTTAGATTTTCTTATCCCCTGCTATGGTAATAGCTTGCTAGACCCTGCAAGCGCCTCCTGTATGTGATACAATTTCAATTTACTGAGAAAGAGATACAATTGTTTAAGGTAAATTACATATGATTGAAAGAGAAACCAGTGTTTTTCATGCAGGATGTGTCAATCAAAGCCAGGGGAGGTGTGATAAAGGGCTTCATAAACAGAAACAAAGTGATTTAACTCCTAAATGGCAGTGAATTGAACAGTGAAACCTGAGAAGCATAATCTATACACTAAAACTGCTTCATTAAGCCAAAGTTCTTTAGGTAGCTATAGTGTTCCTTTAAACAGGAAACCAAGGAATCAGTCCAACCGCACAAGAACAACTGCCCACAAAATTAGTTGGAGTCACATCACGTAACACTCCAACAAAGTAGGACAATTCCAACACAGGAAACAAGAACCACAAACATAGGCGATTCCATTAGACTATAATCAGTCGGAGTCCATCAAACATGTCCGAATTAGGCTGTGAAAACATAAATAAACAGGAGCCACACCGTTATTTTGGTCCTTGCAACTGAATGTGAGTATAAGGTATATACAGGTCCCTCTTATCAGACAATTCGGAAACCCAGGAACATCACAGAATTCAAACATATACTGGTCATCAAGCCTAGTGTTATCCTATCCCCACGTACCTTAATACCAACCTTATCCAAGCATAAACATACCAGGGAGGGAAGATGCAGACCAAGTCAGAATTGTATCTAGGGTGGGACAATACTCATGTAAAAGCAAAATCATGTAATTTTATAACAAGACACGGAGGCTCATATTGCAAGTTTAAAGCTGACTGACAACCGTATAAAAAACGAGTCACCGCTCGAAAATAGAATTCACAGAAGGTAGATTCCCAAGACCAGTCCGCTGTCCTCATCAGGTCCTCCAACTGTGGCCCCGAAGTCATCATAGACGAGGCCGAAACACCCTGTACAGAATGGGCTCCAAACACCGAAGTGTCAACACCCGCCTGATGCAATACCCATTTCAACCAACGAGCCACTGTAGTACTCGTCACTGGGGAGAAAGGACGTTGCAAGGACAGAAAAAGATTAGGTGTAGAAGGTGACCGGTGTGGTCCAGTGTGAATCTCATATTCCCGTAAACAAGCCACCAGGCACAACACCGGAAACAAACGGAAAGCCGGATAAGAAACCAATCTAATCAAAGTCTTCGTACGCCTAGATATATTAAAAGTCACTACGTTAGGAGTGAAGGAATGAGCGTCGAAATCCAAGGCATTAACATCCAAAACCCTTTTACAGGATACCAGGCAAAACAAAGTGACCAGTCTCGCCAACAATTGGCGTAAGGAAAGACCCGCATTAGAAGGCCAGGAGGTAAACAACGATAGCACCATGGAGACATCCCATGTAGCAGAGTAACGTTGTTTAGGTGGGCAAGAGAGGAGGGAGCCACGTAGAAGCTGGCATACTAAAGAATGTTGCCCCACCGGACAACCCTCGAAACCCTGATGGGCCAAAGAAATGGCAGACCTATATACGTTTATCTTCTGGTAGGCCCATCCAATTTCAAACAGAGACGTGAGGAATTGGAGAATTGCCATTACAGGTGCAGAAACTGGGAGCCCATGCATCCACCAAGAGGCATTAAGTGGTGTCCAAAACTCCCAAGTTATGCCTGGGTCCCTTGAAAGCCGCCAAGCCAACAACAGGAAGGAGGTCCAGACGTATCGGCAACAACCTGGGTACATCTATTGCCATCTCCAGAAGTTGAGAGAACCAGGATTAAGTCGCCCAGAACGGGGTTAAGAGAACCAGCTCTGCCAATTGGTGGCGAACTTGAAGCAGCACCCTGGGAAGCATGGCAAATGGATGGAAAGCATAGAGGAGAGGACTGTGCCAATCCTGCAAGAAAACATCCACCGCCTCTGTGGTCGGATCTGGACGCCAGCTGAAGAAACAGGGTAGCTGGGCATTGAGCCTTGAGGCATAAAGGTTGACGGAAAAGGGACCCCAGAGGGATGAGATAGTGCAAAACACTGCTACATCCAATCTACAATCGCTGCTGTCCGAGAGATAACAAGAATTCCAATCCACCTGAACTTTGTGAAAGCCGGTAGGTATCTGGACCACCAGATTCCACCAGATTCCAAAATTCCCAGAAGTCCGTTGCCAAGCGAGCCAACAATGCCAACTGGGTGTCTCCCATGTTGTTGACATATCGAATTGAAGATTCGTTGTCCATCCGTAGGTGAATGCAGGCATTGGCAGACCTCCTTCGCAAAACTCTGAATCACAAATGATCCCACCAGAAGCTCCAGAGCATTGATATGCATCCTGAATTTGCTCTCCGACCAGTGTCCTCCTGTGGACACCCCTTCGTAGTGGGCACCCACTGCTCACGTTCAAACCTATGGTGAACTCTGGGTGAGACCCGAACATGGCCCTGCTGTTCCATGCACAGATACTGCAAATTCACCAATGCAATTCATCCTTTGTTTCCTCGTCCAGTGATATCAGGTCCGCATAGATGCTCCCTCGCGAAGATGTGCAATCTTTAAGCGCTGGGGTGCTCGATAGTGAAGAGGAGCCGGAAACACCGCTTGGATCGACTATGCTAACAGTCCGATGAGTCTTGACAGGTAGCGTTGGTTGAGATGTTGTCCGGTAAGAGCACTGTGAAGCTCCTTGCGGATAGTTCGAATTTTAGACGTGGGCAGGCTCAAGGAGTCCTCTTACGATTTCACAAGGAAGCCCAAGAATTCCATGCATCTGGATGGTATCAGACAAGATTTCTCCCAACTGATGAGAAAACCCAGCCTGGTCAGCAGATCCACCATCCACCGCAGATGCTGGAGGAGAATGGAGTGGTCCTGGGGTATGACCAGAATATCATCCAGATAAACAATAAGACGTACATCCCGACTGCGAAGCCTGGCCATTCTAGACATAGTAGATTGATGATCTAGGGCTGTAAACGCCCTAAGAAAATGACCAAGGTCCTTAATAAAGGAGTCACCAAATAGGAGACCTTTGGCGTCTTTGCCAGCCACAGTGAGGGCGAGGTTAGCCAGTTTCCGTTCAATCTTAAACAGGATGGCTTTACGTCGCTCAATAGATAGTGAAGTATTGACGCTGCCCGCAATACAGATGGCCCGTTGGACCCAACCACGGAGTTCGTCCGGGTAAACTAGCCTATTATCAGCCCTGGCGTCCTTGCAAGGAAAATCTCCCGAACTGAGAAATTCATATCGCGACCAAAGTGCATTCGCGTGCCGAATGCGTCTAAGAGACAACTCTCGAAAGCGCCAGCGAAACATACGAATGGTCAGATACGAAAAAACCTGCAAACGAACAAACGTTTGCGGCCCGAACTGCAATGATAAAATAGGCGACTGGGAGTTGTCATGCGAACGTCCAAATGGCAGACATTAGAAAACCTCTCAAAGTGCCGAAGGCGTGCGAAGAAACACACAAAAAGGGTGCCAAAATGGCCCCAGGACCTGGTATAGCAAGTAGGGGAGACAGAAAACGGTAAGACCCAAGCACCACCGAAGGGAAAGTCAGAGAAAACGTATATAAAGAAATATGAGGTATGAAAAAAAGGAGGAGACACCCCCAAGGGAAAAGGAGGGGCAAGACCCCCCCAGCTAGTCTGGGACTCTGAGCACAGAACCAAACAATACACAGTAAAACAGGTACATGAACAGTTCTAAAATGTAAACTCAAAGGTTAAGTTAAACTAAAATCCCTAGACAAATAAGAACAAATACACAATAATTAGTACAACTAAAGTCTCAAGAGACAAAATAGTACTGGTACTTATCTGACTGTGGAGCAGCAAAGAAAGAGGAAGTATGTAGGGAGGTGCTCACTATTATACTGGGACTTGGTATGGGAGTGTCCTGTTACTATGTGTTCAATTTTTTCTTACTGTTTTGTATTCTTTGCTGCTATTGGTGGACAGTAAAGAAAGCTATAGGTTAATTTGTATATAAAGACTTATTAAAGAGAGATATTGGCAGCATCATGGATGTGCAAGCAAACACATTTTCCTTTTATCTATAAAACATAAATTAAGACTTTAATTTACATGATTTTGATGAAGATGAGTTTCCAAAAGACATGAATTTCTAAGAATCAGATTTAGATACTAAACTATATCTCTTCTCATTCTGTTTCATGTGTCTATCCCGTTTCTAAAATTACCAATTTTCTTTACATAAATTGTAATGCGCTCTAGATAAGAGTGCTACATAAGAACTGTTACATAAATAATAAAATGAATAAATGTATGCTAACAGCAAAACCATATGACATCTTTATGGACAATTAGAACTGGGCAACAACAAATACAAAAAAAAAAAATCAGTTAACAATTAGACTCAAGATGAAATCCCAAGCAGATCTTTACACATATATCAGTTGCCAACTTGCCATTATCGTACCATTTTGGGTTAGTTATCTCTGATTAATGAAGGTGTTTTTTCACTAAACACCAAATTTCTAAATTTAGGCTTAAATAGCCAAACTCCCAATATAGTATATATTTATTCCGAACCAGCAATTATTCTCTCAATTAACTGTAATTTGGTGATTAGTGAATACACTTGAACATGAATATGTTTTGGACTACTCACAGATATAATAAATATATATAAGTCCATAAATTGCAATAACATAAGTATTGCTTTATCTTAACATGATTATTAAAGTAAGCAATACTCACGTTTTCACTAGAAGGCTGATGCCTGCTTATCCCAATGAGCTCTTTCCCTGCTGAAGGACTTCTAAGCAGGATATCTTCATCTTTCTCTGTAGGCTTTGTATTTCCACCAATCAAAGCTTGCTGCTGACTGCCCAGAAGGTGGTCATCATACTCACCATCTGCTATTTGAACATCTTTCTCAACATTTTTAATATGAAGAATGTTCTCAACACCTACAAGGTGAATATCTTCATCTACTGCATTGTAAATATTATTTTCACCTTCAGTAGGATGAGTGTGCTTCTCACCACTTGCAGGGTGAACATTACATTCAAAACAGAGTGAATGCTCTTCACTACCTACAGGCTGTACATCCACTTCACTAAATGCAGGCTGTACATCCACTTCACCATATGCAGCCTGCTCTCTTTTCATAACATGTAAACATTCTTCTTCTTTGAACACATCCTGCTCTATTTTGTTTTCCTTTGTATGCCCAGGTATCTCCTGTATAATTGCGGGCACTATTACACTGTGGTCTGTTCTAGGCTCAGTAATATCCTCACTGGGTACAGGCCAGGTTCTCTTGTCCTCTAGTTCAACCTCAGTCCTCTCCTTTTTGACTGCAGGGCACCTTCCTATATTTTCAGTACCAACCTCACTCATACCCTTTTCAATAACGTGTTGTTCTTCTGTGCCCTCTGTTCTAGATTCATTATCTTCCTCTATACATGCCTGGCCCTCTTTTTTGCCTCCAGGCTCAGGCTCAATCCTCCCAATTGCACTGTGCTTTATTTTGTTTCCAAGTCCAGTCTCCATAATGTCATCTTTTATTGCAGGCTGCTCTCCACTGTCTTTCCTTCCAGAAGTATTCCTCTGCTCTGTCAGCTGCATGTTTGGAACCTCTTGAAGTACATGCTCATTGCTTATCATGATCCCAGCAGGTTCAATTTCTTTGTTAATTTCTGTAAGCTGTTCATATTTACCTCTTGTTGAAAGTTTCTTTTCCTCACTAAATGGAGGCTTATCTATATCACACCAAACGTGTTCATTCCCTGTTAATTCCTTTACGTCTTTGTGGCCAACAGAGTCACAAGTCAAGGTATTTTCTCCTGTAGAAGACTGTACAGAGAGAAGAGTATGATTTTATTCTAAATTCTTCTTTACACTCATTGATATCAGAATATGCTATTAGCATAATTTCAAAAACGTGACCTTTCAGAACGTTTAAACTTATTGTAATGAATTACCTTTTTTATATGATTACAAATGATCTGTTTATTCAGTTTTATTTTGATAATATTTACATGTAATTCAAAAGTATTAAAAAAAAAAAAAGTATATTCCGCACTGACTAGTCTCCCATACCAGAACTAGTCAGTAACATCCCTGTTTTGCTTTTGGTCAATGTCAAGCAATCTGAGACTAGAGTGGGCACAATCAATACTAAAAATCTAACGTATACTTCTTATATTTGAAACAAGTGGTGTTTTCATAAACTATAACGATATTATTATCAATGGGTTTGGTCGTAAAGGGTGCTGACCATTGCAACAGCCTCTGTAGGGTGGAACCCAGAATGCAAATAAACCAATATACACACAATTCAAGGTAAAAAATAAGTGTGTTGATATTTACAAGAAAGAAAGTTAAATAAAATACAAAAACAGATAACCAAATATAGAAGGACGTCTGGATACAAGGAATGCAGGAAAGGCCTTTGTATACAGCCAGCTCAGGAACACATGGAAACAGCTAGCACAGGAGCACAGGATAGACATGACCAGACTAATAACATTAATGATCTGAACCAAACAAGAAAGAGTGAGGCTCAACAAAATAGGGAGATGTTAATCACAAAGTAAGGCCAGCTGGGAACAGAGAGAGATCTCAGTCTAGATGCAGCAGACAGGTAGTGGCACTGTGGGGTACTAAACAAGACTGAGAATAAACCAAATTGTTACAATTATTGAGCTTGTAAAAGCAAATGTTAACATTATGTGTCAGCACCTACTGGTCTCCCATACCAGAGCTAGTCAGAGTCAATACTGCTTACTTTTTGATATTTGCGAAGGACAAGCCAACTAGAAAAGTTGAAAATTACGCTAACTATTAAAAGTATACTTTCTGTATGTGAAACCATTGGTGTTTTCATAAACTATAGCAACAATGATAATATATTCATTGCAGACTAGAGTTGCCACAACTAGCATTGGTTCATAAAAGTATTCAACTTATACCAAAGTGTTTTATTCTCCAAAGTGTTCTATTGCCCATTCCCCTCGCTCTACCTTCCCCATATACCACTTCTTTCTCCGTAGCCTCATTTTCCTCTCCCTCTGCCATATCCCATTCTAGTTGCTTATTATCCTCACACGCAACCCTCTCTTTCTTCTATTTCACTTCTCCCTTTGCCTATTTTACCCTCTCTCTCCATCTTCCATAGCTCACTCCCCATTTTCCCCTCACTCTACTATCACGCTCCAAGTTTCCCCTTCCCTCTGACCATGTTTACCTCTCTCTCTCTCTCTCTCTCCTTTTCTCACCCTTACATTACATTTCTTAGTTCTTCCTCATGTCCAGACACGAGAATCTGTGAATCATGTTTGGTCTCCCATACCAGAAATAACCAGAGACAAACCTGCTTAGCCTTTGATATTTGCCAACTCAGACTAGAGTAGTCACAAGAGACAAAAGACTAAAGTTTAAAAGTATACTTCTTATATTTGAAACAAGGGGAGTTTTCGTAAACCATAATACTGAGCTGAACGTGTCAGCACTGACGGGTCTCCCATACCAGAACTAGCCAGGGACAAGTCTTCTAAGCTTTTAATACTTGCCAAAATCAAGCCAACTGAGACTAGAGTAGTCATAAGTGATCCTAAAGGTTAAAATTGCACTTCTTATATTTGAAACAAGGGAAGTTTTCATAAACAATAACAATAATATTGAACTTCCAAATGTTGACAAAATGTGTCAGCACTGAATGGTCTCCCATTCCAAATCTAACCAGGGAGAAGACTGCTTAGCGTTTAATACAAGCTTAGAGCAAGCCTACTCTGACTAGAGTAGTCACTAGTGCAGCATTTCCCAAATGGTGTTCCGCTGTAAATTCTGGGAAACAAAATGGCTGCCGCGATTTCGCCAGGTCGGGTGTCACTGGTAATTGAGGCAGGCGGCAAGGGAGCACTCTTCCCTGCTTAGCTCCCTCACGCACACCGCAGTGATGACGGAGCCGGAATATGACGTCACTCCGGCCCCGGCATCACTAAGAGGCACACGAGGGAGCTGAGCAGGAAGATCACTGCTCTCTTGTTGCCCGCACTGCACACCAGCCGCTCAGCCCAGCAGCCCCACTGGATCCCAGGGATTGCACGTCAGCCGCTAAGCCCAGCAGTCCCACTGGACTCCCGGGACCGCACGCCAGCCGCTCAGCCCAGCAGCCCCACTGGACCCCAGGGAAATAGAAACAACATGCCAGCACTCCCAAAGGTAGGGAGGCTGAGTGGATTGAAATTTAAAAAAATAAATACATTGTGTGTGTCTGTTAAGGAATTTGTATGTGTGTTTGTCAGAGTGTGTATGTGTGTTTGTCAGTGAGTGTATGTGTATGTGTGCTTGTCAGTGAGAGTGTATGTGTGCTTGTCAGTGAGAGTGCATGTGTGCTTGTCACCGAGAGTGTGTGTGTGTTTGTCAGTGAGTGTGTATGTGTTTAAAGGACCACTATAGGCACCCATACCACTTCAGCTTAATGAGGTGGTCTAGGTGCCAAGTCCTTCTAGGGTTAACCCTTTTTTTTTATAAACATAGCAGTTTCAGAGAAACTGCTATGTTTATAATAGCGTTAATTCAGCCTCTAGTGGCTGTCTCATTGACAGCCGCTAGATGGCTTCCGCGCTTCTCACTGTGATTTTCACAGTGAAAAGATGCCAGAATCCATATGAAAGCATTGTGAATGCTTTCCTATGGACTAGCTGAATGCGCACGCAGCTCCTGCCGCGCATGCGCATTCAGCCGAAGAGGAGGAGGAGAGCTCCCCTCCCGGCGCTGGAGAAACAGGTAAGTTTAACCCCTTCCTCCCCCCAGAGCCTGGCGGGAGGGGGTCCCTGAAGGTGGGGCCCCCTCAGGGCACTAAAGTGCCAGGAAAACGAGTATGTTTTCCTGGCACTATAGTGGTCCTTTAAGTTTGATTTTTGAGAGCTCTGATAATCTGAATATTGATACAACCTAAAGTTGGTATGAAATGTTTATTATGCTACTAACACATTACACACAAAACAAAATCAAAAGAAAATATAAAAAAAAAAAAAAGAGTTGAGCAGTATAGTGGAATGAACATTTAGGTAAGAACCCAAAACTATGTAAAGATGGTAAAAAAATGTAAACAAAATGCTGTAGTAATAATCAATGGTCAGTAGATGGCCCCAGGTCAACACATCTCACAGCACATATAAAAAGAAATGCATAGATACACATAATATTACAGACTGCCTTGGAAAAGTAATGCTTTTAACATCATATGTTGATATACCAGGATTCCCACAATATTACCCAAATAGTTAGGTTAAGGAAATCAGGTTCAAGTCAAATAGTGAAAAAGCTCAGTTGTATTTAAATACAGTATATCAACATAGGATGTTAAAAGCATTACTTTTCTAAAGCAGTCTGCACTAGTATATGTATTTATGCATTTCTTTCTATATGAGCATTTTTTAAAAGCACTTTTACCATCTTTACCACTCTTTTTTTTATATTTTCTTTTGAGTGTGAGTCAGTCAGAGTGTATGTGTGCTTGTCAGTGAGAGTGTATGTGTGTTTGTCAGTGAGAATGTATGTGTGCTTGTCAGTGAGAGTGTGTATGTTTGTATGTGTCTGTCAAAGAGTATGTGTGTTTGTCAGTGAGAGTGTATGTGTGTCTGTCAAAGAGTATGTGTGTCTGAGTTTGTGCCATTGTATATCTGTGTGTCAAGGTCTGTGCATGTGTCAAGGTGTGTATATGTCAGTATGTATATAAATGTATGTGTATGTGTCAATGTTTTTACATGTGTGTCTGTGTGTTAATTTGTTTGTGTATGTTTGTACATACGTACGTATGTGGCACACGTACAGCAATCATATTTGCATATATCCCAGCAATCAAACACCATCCCAGCAACATACAAACACACTCATTACATACAAAAACCACTGGATTCAAATTTCAAATTCATATACAAACACTCAAACACACCCTTCACTCAAACACTAATACTACACACAAATGTAAATCCGCATTTGAAAGCTAACACTACATCCAAGCACGCCCCTGCATGCAAATGCAAACTATACATACATACACACCCCTGTATCAAAACGCTAACATTATATACAAGCACCAACTGTACACACAAAAGCACACCTGCTCCTAAGTACTACTATCTGTTTACAATCTTTGCTCCGGCGCCAAAAATATTTTGGAATTCCACATTGTTAAATTAATTGGGAACCCCTGCACCGGTGACACTAAAGTTTTAAAGTATACTTCCTTTATTTGAAACAAGTGTTTTCCTAAACAATAACATTGAGCTCGCAAAAGGGAATGTTGACATTATGTGTCATCAAAGTCTAGTCTCCCACAGCAGAAGTAACCAGGGACAAGTCTGCTTAGCTATTGATACTTGCCGAGGTCAAGCCAACTCAGACTCGAGTAGTCTCAATTGGCACTAATAACAGGAAAGGTTAAAAATATACTTCTTATATTTGAAACAAGGGCTGTTTTCCTAAGGGTTAAAAGTATACATCCCATATTGAAACAAGAGGTGTTTTTGCTAACAATATCCTTTTAACCTCTTATGGACAGTGGGCATGCAATGCCGTCCTTGGGGACCCTGCTCTAAACGCCGGAGGGGCGGCATAACACGTCTGTCCTACGTACTTACCTGTTCGCCGGCGTGGAACTCAACTGGCATCCCAGGGAGTCCCCCTGCTCCCGTTCCGGCCCTCTGGGCCATGATATCACGAGATCCTTGCAAGGACCTCACGATCACATGGACAGCATAGCCGTCCACAGCATTGCCAGCAGGGGGAGTGCCTGTAATGCGCTCACTCCCATCACTCCTGGGCGGCAGCAATGACCACAGTACACATCAGCCCCAATATATAGTTAAAAACCGAAGAAAAAAAGTACCTGCACTCTCTCCTTAAACCCTATGTATATTTAGACAAATGGAGGCAATTTAGTTACTCCAATGGCCATTGAAAGGAATGCCCGCCTGCCAACGTCAAGGCAGACCCCCCCAAGCAAGTCCTACACTGACCCTTCACCTTGCAAAAATTTACTTATTTCATCAATTTTTGTCCTTAAAGAGATTTTTTTAAATAGAATTCAATAAACATAAGTTTTTATTTTTTACTCAATTCATACCCTATGAGTTATTTTCACTACTGTGGGTATACCTAGGTGGAGTGTTAGAGGAAAGGCAGGTCACCCTTCACTCTTTCACCCTCTTAGGCAACCTTTCTTGTAACTTTGACCAGTGTGTGTGACCAAGTGGCTACTAAAAAAGACTGGACATACCCCATTTGAAATACCTTGGGTTGTATATTTAATTAATATCATTCTACGTGTATTTTGATATATATATATATATATATATAAAACAAGAGGGGGTTGGCTGCACTCGCCTTAACATGCATAAATGGGGGTGCTGCTGGGGGCCAAATAATACAATACACAAGATCCAGCGCACTCACCTATCCACTAAACAGCAACTTCAATGTTGAAAGATTTTATTTGTTTTTTAAAAAACACCTAATCTAGGCAAAAATAATGGGGGTTTAGTTACATTATATGATCATACAGTGCATAAGCCTGCCACAACGTCAATGTACCCCATCTTTGGCAGGTCCTACACTAACAGCCTAATATACATACAATAGGTGGAACACACTTCTGTAGGTTCTAAAAAAAAGAACAAAACATCATAGTGTAGACTGTATGAAATAAAATAAAGTATACAGCAGCAGAGCAATGTTACTCACAAGCCTAGAGCCAGTCTGACATATGGCTCTTATGTGCAGCGCAGTGGGACTCTTAATAGGATGTCCCCATCCTTCTTGGTGTTTATCCTTCAGGGTTAGGAAGGTGATGATGGAAGAATTGCACTATTCCAATAGGTTAATCCAAAAGTTGGTGACTTTATTGTAAAAGGAAAAAAAACTTTCCAAATAATATTGTGCAATAAAATAAAAACTAAACGAAATGGTCCAAAACAAAGTTGAACCTGTAGACTGTGTCTCTCCAAAACGCGTTTCGCCCTGTGACAAGGGCTTCCTCAGTTGGTGTCAGTCAGTGTTTGTGAGTGTGA